TGTATATATATATATATATATATATATATATATATATATATATATATATATATATATATGTGTGTGTGTGTGTGTGTGTGTGTATATATATATATATATATGTGTGTGTGTGTATATATAGGTATATATATATATATGTGTGTGTGTGTGTGTATAGGTATATATATATATATATATATATATGTGTGTGTGTGTGTGTGTATAGGTATATATATATATATATATGTGTGTGTGTGTATATAGGTATATATATATGTGTGTGTGTGTATATATAGGTATATATATATGTGTGTGTGTATATATAGGTATATATATATGTGTGTGTATATATGTGTGTGTGTGTATATATATAGGTATATATGTGTGTCTCTGTGTGTGTATATGTATATAAATATTGTGTATGTTTATATATATGTGTGTGATGTTGCACGTTCGTGGTGAGACGTATTGTGTCATTTCCTGTTTGTCTGTCGGTAGCTCGAGTGAATTGTTTGCTTGAGTCGTCTCTGTTTTCTGGATTTATCTATCTTTTGCACAGTTTTCCATTCTAGTTCACAAACACACTTAGTACAGTTGCTTTTCTACTGTTGGATAGTGCTTAAAACACCTCCTATCTTTCAACAGTCCTGGGTTTTTATTGGTGTATTTGGCTCTGCTAGCTCTTGCTAGCGTTAGCTTAGCATGGCTGCTGCTTCTCGCCCTGCTTCCTCTGTTTTCTCTTGCTCCGTGTGTCAGATGTTTAGCTACACCTCTGCCTCCTTTAGTGGCAATGATACATGTAACAAATGTAGTCTTATGGTAGCTTTGGAGGAGAGGCTGTCTGAAATGGAAGCTCTGCTTTGCACTGTAGAAAAACCAGTAGCTAGCCAGGTCCCCTTAGACAGCGTGGAACCACAGAGGCTAGCTCCTGTTAGCAGTCCTCCAGCAGACCCCGAGCAGCCGGGACCCCAGTCCGGCTGGGTGACGGTCCGGAGCAAGCGTAATGCTAAGGCTAAGCCCCCAGTTCACCACCGTCCCGTTCACGTTTCTAATCGATTTTCATCGCTCAGTGACACACCCGCTGAGAAGCAGACCCTGGTTATTGGAAGCTCCATAGTCCGAAACGCGGCTTTAGGGACTCCAGCGGCCATAGTCAAATGCATTCCAGGGGCCAGAGCGGGCGACATAGAATCTTATCTGAAACTGCTGACTAAGGCTAAGGCTGAATACAGTAAGATTGTTATTCACGTCGACGGTAATGACACCCGGTTACGCCAATCGGAGGTCACTAAAATTAAAGTTGCTTCGGTGTGTGACTTTGCTAAAACCATGTTGGACTCCGTAGTTTTCTCCGGCCCCCTCCCCAACCTGACCAGCGATGACATGTTTAGCCGTATGTCGTGGTTTAACCGCTGGGTGTCCAGGTGGTGTTCTGACAACGATGTGGGCTACATAGATAACTGGAGTTCTTTCTGGGGAAAACCTGGTCTGATGCAGAGAGATGGCATCCATCCCACTTTGGACGGAGCTGCTCTTCTTTCTAGAAATATGGCTGATTTTGTTGATCCCCCAAATTATTGACAACCCAGGGTCCAGTCCAGGAAGCAGAGTTGTAGTCCTCCACCTCTCTGCTGCTTCTCCTCTGTTACCCACCCACACCCACATTGAAACAGTGTCAACTCGCCCACGGCTCAAATTAAATAAACCAAAAATCAGCTCTAAAAATATAAACCATAAAAATCTGATTAAAATAAACACAGTTACTTTACCAGAACAAAATCATAAAATCATTAAATGTGGATTATTGAACATCAGATCTGTTTCCTCTAAATCCCTGTTAGTTAATGAACTGATAACTGATCATCATATTGATTTATTGTGTCTGACAGAAACTTGGCTACAACAGGAGGATTTTGTTGGTATAAATGAATCCACTCCTGTTAATTATTTAAATGTTCATGTTCCTAGAACAACTGGCCGAGGTGGAGGAGTAGCTTCTATTTTTCAGTCAGGATTATTGATTAATGCCAAACCAGTTATTAGTTATGATTCTTTTGAATCGCTGTCCCTCAGTCTTTCTCATCCAAAATGGAAATCAGAAAAGCCACTTTTACTAGTTGTTATATATCGTCCACCAGGAGCTTACTCTCAGTTTTTGTCTGAATTATCAGAATTATTAACTGACTTATTATTAAATACTGATAAAATCATCATAATGGGTGATTTCAATATTCATGTAGATGTTGAGAGTGATAGTTTAAGCATAGCCTTTAATAATTTAATAGACTCATTTGGTTTTATCCAAAACATCCGCACATCTACTCATTCTTATCATCACACTCTTGATTTAGTTCTGACCTATGGTGTAGACATTAAGGACTTGGTAATAGTTCCTCAAAATCCTGTTCTGTCCGACCATTTTTTAATAACTTTGAGTTTACATTAAATGACTACACAGTCACTGAGAGTAAATTTCATCTCAGCAGGTGCTTATCAGAAAATGCTGTAACCAAATTTAAACAATCTCTTCCATCAATGTTTTCCTCTGTCTTGCAGAGTAATGCATCAGAGAACAGAGACTTAGATCATCTAGTTGATCATCTTACAACTTCAATGCAAACTTCACTTGATAAAATTGCTCCACTGAAAAAGAAAGTAATCAATCAGAGGAAACTGGCTCCTTGGTTCAATTCTGAGTTACGTACTTTAAAGCAGCATCTAGAAACCAGGAGAGAAAATGGCGCTCTACTAATGTTGAAGAATTTTATTTAACTTGGGAAGATATTCTGTTAACATATAAAAAAGCTCTCCGTAATGCTAGAACTTTATATTACTCATCTTTAATAGAGGAGAATAAAAATAACCCTAGGTTTCTGTTTAGTACTATTGCTAGACTAATTAAAAGTCCCATCTCTGTTCAACCATGTATCCCTACAACTATAAGTAGTGATGGCTTCATGAGATTCTTTATAAATAAAAAGGCCCCAGACCGGGATTTGAACAAGGGTAAGGAGCTCTACCAACTGCACCACTGTGCTGCATAGCTTAAATTTTCATTTTACTTAAAATATTTATCTTCTATTTATCTGTGTTGCTTTTTTTAAGATTATTTTTTTTAATCATAGTGTTGAATCTGCATGTGAGGATCTCAAAGGTCCAGGATCAGCATGGAGGACCACCATCAGGAGGTTCTGCAGCTCTGGAGCATCCAGGGGAGTGTTAACACAATGTCAGGATGGACAGACATCAGCAATGGTCTCAGAGAAGCTGCCCGTCAAAGGGTCAAATGTCACATGGAGTCCATCGTTCTACAGAGACAAAGATTATTCACAAAAAAGTTTCAGACAGCTTCACCCTGAAGGTCAGACCATGCAGTGACTCTAGAGGCCTCAGTCAAAGTTCAAAGGTGATGGCCTGTTCTCTCTAATGCTCTGAAAACAGCATGATAGCTTCATCTGAAGGAACCACAAGACTTCTGTACCAGAACCAGATCAGAGGACAGGTGTTTACCCAGAATGCACTGCAGCAAGCAGCTCAGCTGTCAGCACAGTGCTGGAGGCCAATGGTTCGAGCTCCTTCAGTCTCTGAGTGGACCAGAAACAGAACATCAGCACATTTAGTCATTTTTGGGTCAAAGCTTTTTCTTCCTATTTGTTTTGGTGTTTCTGGCTCTTTCTGACCTGTTTATCATGAACTTCAAGTAATTCTGGCGTTTCATCGATCATTCTGTTCCCGTTGGGCCGAGAACAACCTGGCCCGTCCTCCTGTTTGGGATCAGAACGTGTTTACTCTGAGCCTGGAGCTGAAACTCAAAGTACAACAAACAGACGCCTCATCCGTCAGAGTCGGGAAGAAATGTTGCTCAACTCGGACCGGACCTGACCCACCAAGAGTCCACAGGACTCAAAAGACCTGACGGCAGATGGACCGAGACATTCAGAACAGAAACCACAATGAAGAGGCTTGCTTTGATCCTCAGTCTGGTCTGTGTGGCCACAGCACAGGTGAGGTCCTCACACTTTCAGTTAGTTATTTTATTAACACAGAGGCAGGCCTTAAGGTACCACAGAACATATTACCTTCAGCTGTTAGATCAGCTTTTAGCTACAATTCAGCTGTAAATATTCAACTAAACACATAAAAACATTTATTCGGAAGCATTTAACCAGTTTTTATCTCTAAATAATTCATAACCACAAACTGGTTTTTATTTTCTTGTCACTACAGAGCATAAAAGTATTTTTTAGCATAGAAATATATAGTTAGGGTGTCCAGCTTTTTAAGTACTGATATATTTATTTATTCTTCTGATGTTTTTATTGGCAAGTAAAAAATATTTATTTTTGTGGGAAAAACAAACTTTTTATAATTTTCTGAAGAAGCTTAAAAACTTATTTAATCCATAAAATAAAAGCCCATAAAAAATTGTTTGTCCAAAACATTTTCTCTTGACCTATATATATATATATATATATATATATATATATATATATATATATATACACAAACCGGATTCCAAAAGACAGATGAACATAGAATGGTAGGTCCAGATATAGGGCCAGGTCCAGATATAGGGCCAGGTCCAGATATAGGTCCAGGTGTATCTGAAAGACAAAATCAACATGTTAATGATAGAAAAAATAATTACAAATACAAAACATGTTGAGCAAAGTAAGTAAAGACAGCAGCAGAGTGAAAATCAATCAACCTTTATTTATACAGGTAAATCCCATTGAGCCTCGAGGACTCATTTACAAGAGAGACCTGATTTCAACAAAGAAAGATGACAACAATGGACAACAGCAACAACAATAAGCAGTTATAAAAACTCATACTACTGTTTTTTTTTTTTTTTTTTTTTT